CTTGATCAATCTCATAATTTGAATCTCGATGCGTCATTTGAATCGAGAGAATCTTTGCATATTCTTCTTGTTTTTTTTCTTTATTTTTTCCTTTGTTTTTGCTTTTTTCTTTTTTTCTTTGTTTTCTCTTTTTTCTTCTTCTCTTTTTATTCTTGATTGGATCTTTGCACTTGGCATTTGGTTCACCTTTTGGTATCTCTTTGGATTGATTTCTTCACTCATATGAGCATATTTCTTCCACCTTGCCCCCAATGTAGAGGGTAATCCTTGGTTAGGGTTAAATCAGAAGAAAAAAATACTATAGCTCAAAAGGGGACATAAGGGATATATATTTTCTCATGTTGTGAAGCGATAAAGAAAGAAAGACGTTCATCATTTCTTACATGGAAGTCTTCACAGAAGAGGTGTCCCAGGGGGATAGATTTTAAGGATTAATTTTATTCACATGAAAACAGTGTAATTAATGGATGATAGAATTATTTAGGATGAATCCTTCTTTTGCTTCTTGCTCTCAACATGTCTCAATGTTCAGGCTCCCTACGAGATTCCCCAAGTTGTGTCTTAGAAGAATGCCATGTTCAAATGAACAACTCAATGCCTTAGGTTTTAATGGTATAAAAATGTCAAATTTAAGTCTAAAAAGACAATGGTGTGATTTTATTGACTCAAAGAAAGGGTATGACTCTTTGTGCATCGAAAAGATAAAGTCAATGTTCAAAAGTTTCAAAGGGTGGTAATATCAAAATCTGGTCTTTTGGTAATGACCATGAGTTATTTTGGGTAAAGAATCAATGTACTTTATTTTGGGGTTTTTAGACAGGATAAGATATGTCTACTCTTGTCATATGTCAAAAATCTATAATTCTTTAAGAATTAAAAGAATCCTCAATTCATTTAATATTCAAAGAACTAAAGATTAAAACTCGTTCAATTATTCCACCTTAAAAGGTAGCATAACTTCAGTCGTTTAAAAGATTAAGCAAACATGAAAGATCAAAAACGTGTTCAAACAAGACAATGCTCCCCAATGTAAATAGTAGATGCAATGTCCCCTTCTTCGATTGTCCATGCCCTTGAATCCATCAGGTTTTGAATCTTGCACTTCAGTGTCTTACAGTTCTCAGAGGAATGTCTAGAGCTTCCCACAAAGCTTCAACATCGTAGCCCTTAGGATATGTGACTCTTTACAATCAGTTGATCAGGCTCCCACTGTATTGATTTCAATTTTTTTCTTTAATTGTTAAAAACTTGCTTCCATGTGGTGTCATGTGGTTAAGAACACTTCATCGAATTCTCCATGAAGAAATTTCATGTTTATGAAAATGCTTAAAAATGAAATGTAGATGCAAAATGCAAAAATGCATGAAATGTTCGAGGCATTGATCCGAAAACATGTCTGTTATTGTAAATAATCTATTTGGGGACAAAAGTGTTACGTCTTTAAGAGATAAAAAAATATTTTGATGGTATAGATCTCGAACAACCTCTGACAAGTTGATTCGTCTTCCGTCTTTTTTGCGTCACTGGTTGAATACCCTGTCGAACCGTTCCGGCTTCTCTGGCTAAACTGTGCAAGTGACGAGCTGCTTGCTCCAAAAAAGTCTCGAATGACTGCCTCTCCGGCTGAGCCTGTTCCTAACGAAAGTGCCATTGGAGTCATCCATCGATAGGAATAATCCGAAGCTTGTTTCTTGAATTTGTCAACAGTGGCCTGTTGTCTTTGAAGGAGCTCTCCAGATCAATGACCTTTTCTCGTCTTGCCCCTGAAACCTTTGTCGACTCAAAAAGTTAACTTTTGGTGTGCACAGTGTAAATCTCAATCCATTCAAATCCCAGCTGGACTTCTGAGTTTTTCATCTCTTGTATTATAACCCCTTTATCCATTAAGGCAAATTATTTTCGTTTAACAAATACATTTTCGATGAATCAACACCTCTTTTAAATGATGCAAATGATGAGAGAGAACAAACATGAAAAGAGTTAGTGAGGTAAGGATAATAATCAGAAATAAAAATAAAAGTCCTGCCCCACATGATATCTACCCAAGCATGCTTTTATTATTCCTACCCGGACATGATCTCTATCCCGCATGTTGATTTTGAACAAGTCCTAACCGCATAAATTTCTAGTTCGCATGCTTTGAACAGAAAATAAAACAGGAAATAATTCAAGCATCCTAGGTTTTGAAATGGAGTTTTGGGATGGGCTCTAACTCTTGTAGTCTCCCGATTTATGTTCTAAAAAGTTACTCGAGTTTTCCTTGCTGGTGCCCCCTTGGGCTTGCCAGTCCCTTAGTCCTAAGCCCATTACAAGCTCATGTGGACTAAGTTAAACTCTAGATGATACATTCTCTTATTCCTATGCAGTGAATAAATTCACACGAAGACATAAGGTATATGAATCCCGAAGGTTACTTGCTAGGCCTGTGCGGAGAATAAATTCTCGCGAAGGCTTCGCTTTTACTCCCACTTAAAAGGGGTTCGGAGCTCGGGTATAGAGCCAGAGATAGAAACTTTTCAAAAATATGAAATCATTGAAAAAAATGTCAGTACAACTATTTATTTGAAAAATAACCAAAGGTAATTAATTGGAATCGAATAAATAAATTAAAATTTACTATTTTCGCATAAAAAGATAACTGAAAATTAATTATGGTCTAACTCCCTTACATGTCCCTAGTGGAGTCGCCAAGCTGTCGCGGCCGTTTTTCGGTTGGGCCCGGAATTGGGCTTCGACTTGAATATTTGGGTTAGAGTCGCCACCGATCATTTTAAAAACATTTAGGTAGATCGAACACCATCTTACATGGTTTGCGTTTTACCAGAAATATGTCGGGTTCGGGAGTCGGTTATGGTCAAAGAAGGATTATCACCCTTGAACCGCCCTTTCAGTACCAATTAATTTGCCGGTTGTCTTAATCACGAAAATTAAAATTTAAATCAAAATTTTAAAACCCTATTCAAATTGCTTACCTTTGATATATTGGAATTACTACTGAAAAAAGTCAAAAATATTTGATTCAAACATACCCAATTTCAACAACATGCATCAAAATTATTATTCAAATTCTTAATTAAGGCCAAAAGAGAGATGATCATTGAATCATCAAATTATTTCCTTAAAGTCCAATTTTGAATAAGAATAATTAATTAGAGTGTCTAGGTGTCAAAACTAAGGCCAATTAATAAAATAATGAATTTCATGACATTAATAAAATAAACCAATTAATAAGTTATTAAAAAAATTTGTTAATCGAAAAATGGTCGTAATTAAACCGACTTAATGCCATAAGAAAACAAATCAAATTATGAGAATTAATAATTCAATTAAGCCAATTAGCCTAATTAAACTAATTATTAACATAATCAAATATGAACTTATAACACTAATATTTTAATTTAAATTAATTTAATCAATTAACAAATTATTAATCGTTACGGAAGTGAATATGTAAACAAATACCATAAACGACTCTAACCAAATCAATTAACCCTCTCAATTAATTTAATTAATACCTTAATCGTCAATTCAATCACATTAAACCATGGAATTTTCTACCAATTATGTAAAGAAGAAAAGCCACGTTCATTACCAATTAATAATCCAAATCAAATCACGATTATTGGCAAACTCAGTAAGCTCGACTAATGTTTAATTTAACAATAATACCATAACAACCAAAATTAAGAAAAAGAAATTCAATAATGCTAACCAAACAAAGATGTAATCACATTTGATTCTAAACCAATTAACCAGGGAATGTAAAACCATATATCACAATTTTCATGTCATACTTAATAAAGGTAATTAAGGTTTTAATTATTCCAATTCATACCATAAAAACAAAGCCAACATGGAATTTAATCATCCAACTCAACCATAGAAACGAAGCCACGCATATTACCTTCTTCAAGTTTAGAAATTCTTCGTTGATCGTTTGTTCGCATGAGTTTTGAAGGCTTGCTTGTCGTCTTGATGCTTTTGCGTTTTACTTCTATTGATTCTTGGAACTTTTTCTCTCTTTTCGTGGATTTTTCATCTCCAAGAATTTTTTCCCCCTTTACAAGGTGTGAAGATGGGTTTAAATAAGGATGCATGAGAGATGATGGTGAGAGTCCAAATTGTATGGGATTCTTGAGGAAGTTGAGTTGTAGTGGGATATTTGGATTTCATGGGATAAGGTGATTTTTAGTTTAAAAGATATGGTGGTGGAAGAGTCCTCCTAGGAGATGAACTCTTGTTAGTTCTATTTTTTTGAAAAAAGAAAAAAACAAACAAATAGTAAGAAAATGAGTGTCTATAGATTTATTAATCAATTAATCTGGATCGAATATTGTAAAGGCATAGACTATTTCAACCCAATTTGTTTCATTCGTAAACGTTAAGAACTCTTAATCTTACTTAAGAGATCTACTTCCTCATCCCATTGAAACGACTGATTGTATTACTTGTCCTAATACCTATGTATTAATATCCAATTTGATCTTTACTATTATTACTTGTATTAATTAAATCAGCATTGTGATTTTCTGAATTTATTAAATTATTTTTAGAGTAAAAATCGAAACAAATACATATGGATAAAATAAATTCAAAAAATTAATTGAATATTAAAGGATTTTTTTAAAAATTAGTTTCGAATTTAAAAATATTTTTATATAAATTGTATTCCAGTGTAAATTATTCAAATCCAAAAAAAACTGTAATAGAAAATAATAACAGAATATCTGTTTAAATATATTTTATAATTTAAATATTATAAATAGAAAATAATTTAAATAATATTTAAAATGAATAAATACTTAAAAAAAAAACAGATGGAATATCCGGTTTTTGAGTAGATAGCATGACAAACCTAACCTAATCTCCTCCTTCACTTGCCTTTACATTCCCTATTCAAATTTCCCAGTTCTTTTTCCTTTTTATTCGTTGTTCTCTTCTAAAAATTATATTTTATTTTTTGATTTATTATTAGTTTTTTGCTCTCTCTTTTGTTTTGCAGGATTCCAGTTCCTGCCCATTTCTCCGAAACGAAAGAACGCTTCCACAAAACACCCCTCCAAAAAAAGAAAATTGTCGCCGGAAAATGTTATTCTCTCCGCCGGCGCCGTTTCTCGTTCTGCTCTGTTTTCAGTCAATCTCACAAATGCATTAAGTCCAGAAAGGAAACCAAGAGATTCATATAGTAGGAAAAGGTAGAACGAAGAGTTGGAAAGTGAAGAGAGTTCAAATATGCACGAAACAGTGTTAAATGAGCAGAACAACGTCGTTTCTAACACCAAGAAGAAGAAATCTGACGACGAGAAAGACCACCTCGTGGTTGCTAATACTACCCCTATGTCTTACAATCATCGGAGCCGGCGCGTGACTCCTACCGCGACTGCTACCGCCATGGTTGCGGATGCTGCCATCGAGAAAGTTCTACCTAACGGCGATATTTACACTGGTAGCTTCTCCGGCAACGCGCCTCATGGATCGGGAAAGTACCTTTGGAACGATGGGTGCATGTATGAAGGCGAGTGGTGGCGCGGGAAAGCTTCGGGGAAAGGGAAGTTCTCGTGGTCGTCGGGAGCCACTTATGAAGGGGATTTCAAGTCGGGTCGGATGGAAGGAATCGGGACGTTTATCGGATCCGACGATGACACATATATTGGGTCATGGATCTCCAATCGGAAACATGGGTACGGCCTTAAACGTTATGCCAATGGAGATTTCTATGAAGGGTCGTGGAAGAAAGACCTACAAGACGGGTACGGGCGTTATGTTTGGAGTAACGGGGTCGAGTACACCGGGGAATGGGAAAACGGCGTTATGTCCGGTTGTGGAACCTTGACTTGGGCGAACAAAAACCGGTACGAAGGGCAATGGGTAAACGGAGTCCCCAAAGGGCACGGAGTTTTGTATTGGCCAGACGGAAGCTGTTGTACCGGAGCTCGGAACGAAGACAACATGAAGAAAGTTCAGCAGTTGAACGGCGTACTTAATAACGGGAATGACGGGAAAGAGCATTGTGATGGAAGGGGAAGCTTAGGGGAAAGAAACATAAATTTCCCAAGGATTTGCATATGGGAAAGTGATGGTGAAGAAGGAGATATTACTTGTGATATAATCGATAATGTTGAAGCCTCGATGATTTACAGAGATGGCTTTAGGGGATTTAGAAGAAATCCTTGTTGTTTTAGTGGGGAAATCAAGAAACCAGGGCAACTGATTTCTAAAGGCCATAAGAATTATGACTTAATGCTTAATTTGCAATTGGGTATCAGGTGAATTTTCGCCCTTCCTTTTAGTGAATGTATATGTTTTTAATCTTTGGATTTGAGGGTTTAATTTACTTTTGTTGAATTTTCTTGTTGCGTAGGTATTCTGTTGGGAGACATGCTTCGTTGTTGCGGGATTTGAAGCCCACGGATTTCGATCCAAAAGAAAAGTTCTGGACGAGGTTTCCAACTGAAGGATCGAAGCTTACACCACCCCATCAATCCGTCGAGTTCCGATGGAAGGATTATTGTCCAGTGGTGTTTCGGTATGTTCCTTTTGTTTTTAGTTTTTATATCTGCTAGTTTTGAGGATAAAGATAGCCTTAATAATGAGCTTGCTTGATTACATACTAGTTTCCATTGATTCTGTTATAAGTCACTTTTGGCTATAGTTCACGTTTCACTTGTTTTTCACCATCCTGGTGATTGGATTCCCTTTTGCGAGTTTCAGACATTTGAGGGAGCTATTCCAAGTCAATCCAGCTGATTACATGCTAGCTATTTGCGGCAATGATGCCCTTAGAGTGCTTTCTTCTCCGGGGAAGAGTGGAAGCTTCTTTTACCTTACGCAAGATGACAGATTCATGATAAAAACAGTAAAGAAATCTGAAGTCAAGGTTAGTTGCCACTCATTTGACTTCATTTTAACATTGTTATGTGTTTTGACTTGTGATGCATAAATTTCTCATATGGCACTCTTAAGCATTGGAATATTGATTGTTTCTCTCTCTTTTTTTTACATTACTGTTGGTTAAATTAAACATTTATATCATCAGGATTCTTAGACTGAATCTTATCAATGTCAGGTTCTTATAAGGATGCTTCCGAGTTATTACCAACATGTTTGTCGGTATGAAAACTCCCTTGTGACAAAATTTTACGGTGTGCACTGTGTCAAACCTGTTGGTGGCCATAAGGTATGTGTTTGAATCAAATAGAAAAGAACTGAAATACCTGTATTCAACATTTTTTTCATTAACTTAAATCATCTCACTTGCCTGGAAACTATTATTATTGTTAAATTCCAGACCCGGTTCATTGTGATGAGTAACTTGTTCTGCTCTGAGTACCGAATCCATAGACGGTTTGACCTTAAAGGATCATCCTATGGCCGCTCAACTGATAAGCCAGAAGAGGAAATTGATGAAACAACAACCCTTAAAGACTTGGATCTCAATTTTGTGTTTCGCCTCCAAAGAAATTGGTTTGAGGAACTTATGAAGTAAGCTATTTAACATTTTTATTCCTCCTCTTGTAGCTCCTCGCTTTCCTCTTATATCAATTCATCCTTGTATTTACTGATATTTTCATAAAACCAAATGGTTTCAGGCAAATTGACAGAGATTGTGAGTTCTTGGAGGCTGAGAGGATTATGGATTACAGCCTTTTGGTTGGACTTCACTTTCGTGATGATAATAGAGGTGATAAAATGGGATTATCACCGTTTCTCTTGCGCAATGGTAAGTAAGGATTCTTTGTGTTGGAATACACATTCTATTTTGTATGAAATTTGAATGGAGAATATCTGTTGAAGTACGAATACAGATTTGACTAAACTTTCCTATGCAGGCAATAAGGATTCGTATCAAAATGAAAAGTTTATGCGGGGCTGTAGATTCCTTGAAGCAGAGCTACAAGACATGGATCGAGTTTTAGCTGGCAGGTATATTTGGCTGTCTCTATTTTTGTGGTTCAAACGATGCTCAGATTTTAAATTTCTTGGTTAACTGTTGATTGTATGTGTTGTAACCATCGTGTTCCGAAGTTGGTGGTGAGTTGTCTTCTTCTGCTGTGGTGGTATATGCCGACATTCGGTCTAATTTGATCATATCCCATGGAATAATTGATGGTTATGTTCTCATTTCGTGAATGATCTTGTGAGTGGTATTCTGAGTATGGCACTTATTTTGTGGGGCATGTAGCAACTAGCAAGTGTTGTCCTTTATGATCCTAGATAATAACCAAAGGTTTCCTTGATTTTTAGTGCCCATTATCTGGTCTTTTCTTAAATGATCATGAATAATGGCTAATGCAATCAAATCTTTTAAACCTTACCATTAGTAGTTCTCTTTAAAATGTCTTATAATGATTTTGATCTGTCACTATAAGGCCTACAGTACCTTTTTGTGAATCGAATTTTCTGTCTCTTCATTTTCTTTTAAGTACCCATGTTCGACAACTGTCAGGACATATATAGGGATCTGGGTATAGAGATACGAAAACAGGATAGAAATAATTGAATATTCTTGTGTCAGCTATATACCTTTCCCGAAATTCACACATGTTCGAGGAACACTCGGATATGAATGAGCATGTTAGTTAGAATGGTATTCCTTCTTTTCATTACTGAAGTTTCTTGTGTGAGGAGAAATTTAGTATTGAAAAAACCTTTAGATATTGATTAGAAGATGGACAAGAAGTTAATTCAGATTTGGTATTTAATTTTGCTTTATCAGGAAACCATTGATTAGATTAGGAGCAAACATGCCGGCAAGAGCGGAACGAATGGTGAGAAGAAGTGATTTTGATCAGTACACACATGATGGAGCCAGTCACTTTTCACGTAGTGGTGAAGCTTACGAAGTAGTCTTGTACTTCGGCATCATCGATATCTTACAAGACTACGATATCAGCAAGAAGTTAGAGCACGCGTACAAATCCCTACAAGCAGATCCTACTTCAATATCTGCAGTTGGTCCAAAACACTATTCAAAGAGGTTTAGGGATTTCATCGGAAGAATTTTCGTTGAAGGCAGATAGAGAGGAACATCATGAGAAGGCAAACTGAACTTGAAATATCCGAAATGTCACTTTGGATGTCGATCGCACCATCGAAGAGTGCCAGCAGTATCTCCCGATCGAAAGACACTTGAAGAAGCCATCCAGTGATGGGTGAATTTTGATGAGCGGGAAAGTGTTGGGTAAATTTGAATGATCATCCCATATCAGCATAATCATGATGAAGAGAATGAAGGGGGCGCCTTATACATTGAAAGGAGGTTGGGAAATTAGGGTTGACATTTTGTGAATTGTGCAGGGTAGGAATCAGAAACTGTACAGCTTATCATTATAGAATAGGATGGGAATAAGTTCACCAGTTTTCTTTTGGGTTAGATTATTCATATATATATATATATATATATGGAAAGGCTTTGAATACGTATTATTTTATATATATTTTAGATTAATCAGGAAAAAATCATATTTCACTTTAAAAAAAATTGGTTTCATATTCCAACCATTTATTTTAATACTAAATTTTGAATAATAAAAAATTATAAAATATACGATCACATGAAAACGAATGAGAAAATAAAGAAATGTTTGGCAAAGCCAAATCTGGCACAAACACGCAAGGCAGTACTAGACTTCGATATTTATTTGAGCCCTCCAATTAAACTTGAGCAATCAAATATATCTACCACGTGTCAAAAATAAACATTTTAATTTAAAAGTTACATCACCAATTTACTTATTTTATTTTCTCTTATATCATTCATTACTTCTAAATTTTAAAATTTAATCATTAAAATTTTTTTATCATTCAACCGTTAACTTTCTAACGGTGTTATAATATGACAATCAACACCAAAATTACGTAGTTTTGTATTTTATAAAAAATCAAATTTAGACAAAAAAAAAAACAATGTAGTATTGGTTTAAATAAAAAATTATTTTCGGTTTTCCCCCCTTAATTTTCTGCTCTGTCCTTCTTGCTTGTTCTTCTTCCTTTCATTCTCTCTCCATTTATCTCCCCAACCTCAATGATCCAAGGTTTCGACCACCACGCAGGCTGCTATTCTGACCATTGCCGGAGACCAATGACCAAATACTAGCTTCATTCACTGCAGAGAGTAGGGGTGGTGGAAGGGAGTACAATGTTGAAACTTGTTCTTGCAAAATTCCAAATATTATGAGTTGTATTGATTGTTTCAAAACTGATTATTTTTTAGTACAATGTGTAGTGCTCTGCTTTTGAGTATGTTTTGGTCCTTCGGCTATGATACTGATATTCATTTTCTTGGTAGGAGTTCGCCCAGCTACTGTGGGTTGAAAAACTGTTGAGATGAGCATTAACCAATCTGTGGAGTACTATATTTATCTTCAAACGAGTAGTTTTTTTTTGAACTACAGTACCCTTTTGCCTCAAGTTGCATTGTTTTTTTATTTATATTTTTATCATTTTCAGTTGTCATTTTAACCCTACTAATGGGTCATTAGAGGTTTGATGTGGTCTTTAGTTCATGTCCAAGGAGTATAAATATTTGTCTTTCAAAAAGCTGTTTCCCTGGAATGCATCACCTTCTTCCCTCAGGTTGCATTACTGTTTTATCAGCTTTTTACTTTCTGCTTATTTTTGTGGTTTTAACCCTACTTATGGCTTATTAGAGGTTGGTTGATGGTCGTTGTATGTTTTTACTTTTTGATTGGGTTGAGTTATGGTTCTGTTTGTCTAAGCTTCATGGATTCTTTTATTGCTGAATTACAAAACTAGGGAAGATAGAATATATTTGATGTTTCAGTCTTGTGAACCCCTAGTGGGTGTTTACAACCCTCAACTGTTTCAACGTTGGACAATCTCAATTGAGTTTAGCCGAAACGGTGGTCGGAGGTGATTAGAATGATGATCAACATGATGATCGGAATTTGAGTTCATTTAAAGTTTAAGGTGATCCAGCTGGTCAAGGAAAAGCTCAAGCGCGTGGAGAAAATATTCCATGTATAAAGTTGGAGCAGAGATAAGTAATGGAGAAGAACACGGTCTCCATGACACGTGAAGTTGTAAAGTTGTAGTTGAAGAAAATATTAAAATAAGTCATGTCATCAGAGTGTAACTAAGAAAACGGTGAAGTAATCAAAAAAATTTATGTATAAAATTCAATTATTAAATAGAAAATATTTAAAGCATAATGATCCAAATAGGATTGAGAATAAAGTTCAGTTGTTAATTATGTAATTATCCTAATTTAAAATAAATACTTTGGAAGAGCTGATTTTTCACTTTATTTATATACACAATAAAAGGATGAGATTGATTGATGAAAGACTAATGAGTCCCATAATGCTTCAAATCCATAAAGGCTGTGACGACATATGTCCGGCAAATGGCTTAATAATAGCAGACATTATGGTTGTCTAGACAGCGACTATGTCTGTCTTCCCCCTTATTTAATATTTTTCTACATTTTCTTCTAAGCAATTATATTCCCATCTACCCATATTAAAATCAACTCTATTAATAACATCAACAATTAATTTCAGCAATAATATGGAATTTAATTCGATTAACAACTACTCTATCAAACTACAACCTGAGAGTTGAGTTGAATGGCATTGGTGTCCACTAAGGGACAACGAAAGGGATTGGTGCTGTATTTCTATGGCTTTTAATTCATGAAAGATGTGAACAATGTCATTCATTGTTAGTTGATTTTGGGGACAAATTATTGAAACCAAACATTACATTGTTGCTTTGCTTGCAATTGCCCACTTAAAATTAGGGTCATTTCACAATGTTGTCTTGTCACCTACTAGTAGGACTATTGGACATAATTTTGCAAATTGGAGTCACCTTAGTTGTCAAACCTCAAGTTTCAATTAATCATATACATATAGATGTCATATGGACAAGATTAACACAATTAATAAAGTAAATTAATACCATATTAGATATCGACATTTGAGGGTAACCATTGAAGAAAAATGCAAACCCTAAAAAAGTTAAATCGGCCACGTTCCCATACTCAACCTCACATAATGAAAATCTACCATCTTCCTATCATAAATCGATGATCATTTGTAATTTTATCCTATTTTAATTTAATTAGTGGTGTACTTCGATGTATCGTTTTAGTAGTGTTTTTTGGTGTGCGAAATTCACGGTATAATTTTTCCATATTAGATATCGACATTTGAGGGTAACCATCGGAAAAAATGCAAACCCTAAAAAAGAACGTTGAATCGGCCACGTTCCCATACTCAACATCACAGAATGAAAGTCTACCTAAAAATTTGTCCAAACTGCATGCCAATTCCAGATCTCAAAGAGAAGCCTTGTTTTTATACGATCAGTTCATCAATGGCGATGGCTGGAGTAGCTGTTATGGTAGAGGCTTACGTGATTTTTATATAAAGAGAAGTTGGAGGAATTGGAGGAAGAAGAGACGATGGATGTTGATGATAACCAGTTTTATGATGCGGAGAACGAAATCCCTTCGCCTGTTAGTTTTAAGATGACCCCTTCTTCCCGCGTTTCTAATTCTACTAACATTTAAGACCAAACATGGGATCCACAAAAATTTGTCTTCAATACCATGTTGTTTTTTATTTTTATTTTGTTCTTTAATTAATTATTCATTGTTCATATTGATTGATCTACTGGGGTGTGACACTAGATTTACATTTAAATTAAAAAGATTTTGATTATGATATATTTTACTTAATGGTTTTTAATAGAAGTCGCTCGTCATATTAAAAAGTGAAAATATCTAAAATTACAATAAGGGTTTACAATTATCATGATAAACTAAATACATAATTTGAACATTTTTCTATAACATTGAAACTAATCACTTTATATCATATAAAGACCATATATGGAAATGTTAAAAAAACAACCAAAAGACTCGAACGAAAAATAGATACTAAGAAATCTGATTGTATCGACAAATGAACCACAAAAGGAGATTAAACTATTAAAAGACCACCGAGAACCATAAATCAGAGATGAGCGTCGTAAGGAATTATCCACAAACATGAAATCACGTATCCAAATTCAATCTGAGGGTCAATATCAGGAAAGATCAACAAATGAAAATAAGGCGAGGAAGTACCGCTTAACCCAGGCATCGAGCTAGATCTCAACTTCACAGCGAATGATATCATGTTTGAAACATCCCTAACTCGACTTTACGACAAAGAGGTCAACTACGATTTCAACTTCATGATGAAGAATATTGTGCTTAAAGATATTTCAAAATTGACTCAACTTCACGACGAATGAGTTATCCGTAATTCAACTTAATAACAGAGAGTTATTTTGTTGAACTATATTTTGATATAACAATTAGGCAAGCAAATTTGGACTTGAATTGAATTTATTCAAAAAATTTCAAAGTTTTCAAAATAATTCAAAGTCCTTAAAAGTGGAATTGAGCACAAAATATGTTTTTGTACAAGTAGTACCGATACCGTACTTGTAGTATCGATACTTCATGAACAAGTACCGATACTGTTCATATGGTACAGATACTAAGGGAAGTATCGGTACTCACTAGGTAGTACCGATACTACCAGCTTTGCTCAAATTTCAGAATGCAAAAATGATACCGATACCCAAAGGTGTATCGATACTACTCCATAGGCATTGTATCGATACCATCATGCTCCAACGGCTAGTAACAGTTAGTTGATTTAAATATAAAAAAGGTAGTAACGATACTCCCTTTAGGAGTACCGATACCCCTTGGTCTGGGCAGCTTTACTTTGCACGAAAATTGATCCCCAATTGCTCCAAACCACCTCTAACGGCTAGAAACGACCACAACAATATTCCAACACATAAATACAAGTTGAGGACACTTGAATATTGGTTAGAACGCCTATCCAAGAAATACAACACAAGAGAATAGTTTTTCAATCTTATTTTCATTTCTCTTGTAAATATTTTGTTCTTGTGAGCTTAATTATTGTAAACACCTTCATTTCTAGAGGTTTTTCTTGTTTACATTTCTTTTCTTTGTAAAGGGTTTTTGGTTCTATCTTAGCCAATTGAAAAGATAGGGAGTTGTAAAGGTTATCTCTTTATCCTTGAAAAAGAAATAACAAATTAGTGAATTAGTTAAAAAATATTTAGTGAGGATCTAAGGTAGAAGATGTAGACTTGGTTGATAAGTCGAACCGCTTTAAATCCTTGTTCCATATTGTCTTATCTTTTTGTTCTCCTTACTCCCTAAATTCAATTTTATATTTTAAACCTATTTTCACTTTTTCGGTTGTCAATTGAGCCTCTTCATCAATCCCAACAATTGGTATCAGAGCCTAACTCTTTAGAAGGTTTAACCACCTTGAGACGTTCCTAGAAGAAGCTCTACCAA